TTTGAGTTAAAAATTTATACCCTGTATTTTTATTTAAAACATCAGTCAATTTATTAAAAATTATAGTTCCTGAAGCGCCACGCACTTTTGCGATCTCCGTTTTAAATTTCTCAACTATTTCCACTGCATCTACTAGCGCAAGATCCTTGTTTTCGAGTTTTGTGATAGCTTCGCTCACAAAGCTGTAGTTTGTTTTGATAAACTTGATAAGTTTTGTTTTATCTCTTCATTTTTCACAATCTCTTGACACTTTTCAAGTGCTTGGGAAGCAGATTGAGGAAATTGTAATATAATTTCTTTCAATGAATCAAAATTAACAGCATAAAAATAGGCAGCACCCATCCACGTACCCCAACTGGTAATCACCGGTTCAGGAGGAAGTGTGGTATACCTGGAAATCTTTCTCGATAAAATTGTACCCTCAAATAAGCTTTTACGAAAACTTTCTTTCCTGTTTTTATTAAAGTATTAACCAAAGGAAACTGTGCTGGAATAGTTTCAGCCACACGATTAATTCCATGTGTTAAACAAGGACTAAGTTTTCATAAAAAACTTTCAAATTTGTAAATGCTTTTGTCATGTATGCAGCCGCATCGGAAAGCATTAACAAAATCTTCTCACTTGGAACTGGGTTTGGCAAAAAAAAATTCTTGCGTTCGGTAATAAAATTCTGGTTACCCGGAAATCAATAAATATATCAGATAATACCTAAGTTGAAAATTAAGTGGAAAATAAGCACCAAATATTCCACCAATGAAGAAAATATGCGTAAAACTGGCATTAAAAAAATAAATGATTTAAAATCAGAAAATAAGCAAAATGGCACTAAAAAAACTTAGCCACAGCATTATATTTGTAATTTATGTGTATGTATATCATCGAAATACATCTGCCATCAAATATTACTTAATATTTTATGGCATAATTTCTAGAAATCCGCGCTCTAGTTATTACAGCCGCTTTCTTGTTCAAAATATTCTAATAAAGTTGCGATGAGTTTTTTACGGCTATTAAGCTATCTTGTACACTTTGCACTAAAAGAGGTTCGAAAAAAAAACAATGTTCGACTGCAAGGTCTGCTAGTAAACATTTTCAAGTTTAAAATATCACAACAGATCACAACACTCAGTCCCCGCTCAATCCCTATCGCGAAATTTAAATTCCAGTTAGTCAACACGGCTCCAAATATGTCCATGGTTGGCAACAATGAATTTAAAAATCGCGCCCTCGATTACGTAACTAAAAGATATATTTATATACTATAATTGATATCAAATATACTTAAATTCGTGTCTCTTTCATTTATCTATCAATACAGTATACTTTGTCGATACTTAAGCTCTAGTCATGGTACAAAACTAAGTCAAATATTAATTAAATCTTTCCGGTCATTGGAACTTCCGCCGGTATAACATAATTAATTGGTCAATCGAGCCGCATTATCAGAACTATGCACGGCACGGCGAACAAAGGCTATTTCAAAATAATTCCATAAATGTGTTATGTGTTTATAGTGCGCACCACTTACCGAAGCTAATGATTCACTTCACTTTGTCAATGGCTCTCCGCGATAGCCCCAACAAACTAATTTAATTGTGCCAGGCAATTAACAACCTTCCTCCTGCTAACTTTATTGTTTCGTTATGGAGTTGGCTAGTGCAAAGTTTTGCCGTAGAAGTTCTGTACTCCTTGTAAGATCTAATAATTTTAGTCGATAGAAAGTTTCTCGTTATATTGTAGTCCAAGAATTTCTTTAATTAATGTGGTTGTGTCGATTGTAAAATGTGGTACTGGATTAAATTGTTAAAGTTTTGCCTGTAACTCTATTTTTATGAAATAGAAAACAAATTTCTTGCAGTATATGTATATAATAAAATTATATAAGGATTCTTGCCACTTAACTGCTAATATAGAAATTTATTTTTTTTTTGTTTCGGAGCCCTACTCCATCATCAGGTGAGCTTGGGCAGATCCACAAAATGACAACCGCAGCGCAGAGATAGTTAATTCCGACTTGTCGGAAAGTATCGGTTAGATATTAAGTCCCGAACGGGAGATAGCGGCCTGCGTGCAATGGTAGTACTTTCGTACCACCGAGAAGCAACTATCGATAGTAAAAAGAAGGTAAAAGGCCTTTTTTCAGGCAAGCTAACCTGATGAAGAAGTAGGGCGCCGAAACCGGTAGTGAGAGCAGGTTGATCCACATTATGACAAATACAGCGTAGAATTAAATTTCTATATCAGCAGTTAAGTGGCAAGAATCCTTATATAATTTTATTATATACATATACTGCAAGAAATTTGTTTTCTATTTTATAATTTAGCTTGCCTGAAAAAAAAGCCTTTTGCCATCTTTTTACTATCGATAGTTGCGTCTCGGTGGTACGAAAGTACTACCATTGCACGTAGGCCGCTATCTCCCGTTCGGGACTTAATATCTAACCGATACGTTCCGACAAGTCGGAATTAACTATCTCTGCGCTGTGGTTGTCATTTTGTGGATCTGCCCAAGCTCACCTGATGATGGAGTAGGGCTCCGAAACCGGTAGTGAGAGCAGGTTGATCCACATTATGACAAACACAGCGTAGAATTAAATTAAAGATCTTTACGTATTATCGTTACATGGCTAATTTTTTGTGTAAAGTATCCTTTTGTGTAGCCATTATGAAATAGTCATGTCTGCCAGGGCGATCCCGGGGCTTAAAGCGGGGGCGGCCCATCGAAAGGGTGAATTTTGACACTAAAAATATTATAAGGTACACGAGTTATAATTGCTAAAATAGCTTTTATTTATTATTAAGAAACGTGGAAAATTGTTGGCACACATTTTTTTAGTCGCTAAAATGCCGACAGACAACGCGAAAGAGGCATGAAATTTTAAAAATTATTAAAAAATGAAATTTGAAAAATGAAAAAAATGATGGCATACATGCATGCCGATTGGTGGAATTGTCAATTTATTGTAAAAGCTGTATGCAAAAGGACAGACAAAAATATCGTGGCTGAATCAGCTGCAGACAGTTATCAAAAGCGCGATATTACTCTAGCGCTCTCAGGGAACGCTCGCTGCCTCATCCATTTAAGTATAGATAAATAATTTATACGATTATATTATAAACCTATTTTTTTATTAACAGATATCATATATTTACTATTCTGCCTCACTGTTTATACTCGCTCTCGCAAACGAGTCTTCCTCTGAGTCGATATCTGCATCGTAAAATTTTTGTAGACTTAAGCTTGATTTTCATGCATCCGTTGTCCGACGATACGTTGATACAATATTAATTTTATTGGTAGAATTTAAAGACTTTGGATAACGCAGTTTTTAAATTTATTGGATTTTCATGCCTCCGTTTATCGGATATACGTTGGTGTTATTTTATATTTTAGTTTCAATAACGATTTTGCTATTTTACTTATATTTTTATTAAGGTTGAATTAAATTTGTCAAAGTGCCAAAACGTCCGTTATCGTATAAACGGGTCCGTTGACGGGCTGAAGTAAAATATTTACGGATGAAAAGTGGCGCGAAAACGATATGACCAATCAGAGCACCGTCGGACCATCGTATCAACGTATAAAGCTTGATTTTCATGCATCCGTTATCCAGCGATACGATGATACGATATTAGTTTTATTGGTTGAATTTAAAGACTTCGATTGGTTAGAAACGGTTAACCAACCGAAGCCTTTAAATTCAACCAATAAAATTAATATCGTATCAACGTATCGTCGGACAACGGATGCATGAAAATCAAGCTTTACATGTATTAGATTTCAATTAATAACACGGCGAGCGTTTCCTGAAAACGCTTATACAGTGTGAGTCTTAAATAAGTGCAAATACTTTTAAAGGTGATATATTTCGACATCAGGAACACGTCTATGAGTTTTTTTTCGCCAAAAAAGATGTAGAAAATCGTGCATTTTTGTTTAAATTTTCCTGTATATTTTAGAAAACTTTTTACAACTGCCTGTTTACCACAAATTTATCCACGGTATAATTATTTCTTAACCTACCAGGCATACGGCTGTACTCTATGGCTAAAAGAATGGATGCAAATACAGAAAAAATCAGGTGGCTTACAAAATTATTTAAAAATAAATCAATTTATATTTAAATTTTCAAACTTGAATAACTCAGTTATTTTGGACTTATTTGGAAAACGGTAAAAAGAAAATATGTTTCTTTTATTGAGATCTACCAGCTCTGAAAATACTTGCTCTTATTCTAGATTCACCCTGTAGCATGACATTCCACCAATCAACAAACATGTATTATATGCAATTATTTTTTTTTGTTTAAATCCATACCTCTTTCGCGTTGTCTGCCGGCATTTTAGCCACAGGAAAAATGTCTGTCAACAATTTTACACGTTTCTTATTAATAAATAAAACTACAACCTTATAATATTTTGAGTGTCAAAATTTCACCCTTTCGATGGGCCACACCCGCTTTAAGCCCCGGGATCGCGCTGACAGACATGACTATTTCACTATGGCTACACAAAAGGATACTTCACAAGAAATTAGCCATGTAACGTTGATAATGTATTTTTTATGTAGCCAGGGCTGGAACTCTGTAACTAAATAGCGATCGGTAGCGATAAAGAATACTGACCTTGGCCGTACAAACTAAACGGCAATCGACAGTATTCTTCATCGCTACCGATCGCTATTTCGTTACAGAGTTCCACCTCAGCTCTCCGTCTATAACAAGTAGTCTTCCACTTGCCACACGAACAAAACAAAAACAAAATCCATTAATCAAAGGAGTTGTTGATAAAATTGGACATATCAAAACCCGGGATTGGTCGCTACATGAGCATTTTACTCATTATACTGATACAAACGCAAAGGGAATAAAGTATAATATCAAAAGCAATATTGAATAAAGCTTTAACACATATTTTTATTTATATTTCTGTTGAAAAATATACATTCATATACAAAACTATATATTTTTAGTAATAAAAGTATCTGTTTTATATTACAGTTCCACCTGAAAAATTGAGCATCCTGGATGACAATGGACAGCATATTCCTAATTACAAAATAGGACCTTATAACGAAGGATCAGCGGTTAATGTCACCTGTGTAGCCACCGGAGGTAAGTTTTTAATTAATGTCACATTCTTTAACACGGTCACATTCCTAGTTTACAAAAAAAATATTTTATACCAATTTGTTTTTAATTGTTCTTAAATTAGTATTTTATTGCTATTTTATAAGACAGCACATATTAGTTTATAAATGTAATTTCTTTCCTTTTGTATTTCGTTTCTTTGACGTGAAAGAAAAACAAATCCTTTTACAGTTGACTGGTTATCAGAAATGGATTAATTAATTAAAAATCATTGTTTCCTTCCAAAGGTCCTTAATTATTTTCCTAATTAATTTGGTTTGAAGTGCGGGGAAACAGAGCAGATTAGAGAACACTCGTGGTTTTGAGCTGAGATTTGAGGTAAACAGAGTGGCGGTGTTAATAAATGGTTCAGATTTTGGCCGCTCTATTAAATTTATCTTCGCTTAGAAATTAGAAATTGGGTATAGTTATTAAGTACTTGACAGTTAGTGTTTTGTGGATTAATTTTTGAGTTATTTAAGACCTACAACAAAAGATTTGAGATACGGATTATATGCAACATTTCTGGGAAGTATACAGGGTGTCCCAGGCTGAGCGTGCATTAGAAGTTTCTTGAAAACCACAATATCTAAACCAGAGATTTTTTGCACATCATTGTTTTACAACGAGATCTATCGATTAAAAACATTTTCAATATGGCGGCAATTCTGGAAATACCGGAAGTTGACAGCAACTTTCTTATTTTAAATAGGTGCCCCCATTTTTTATTACATACTTAAACTCTTTGTAAAATTCTATGAATATTGATGTTAAACACACTATACCTAACTTTAACCGTTTATGAGAAAAAAAAATTAAAATTTTTGGACGAAAAAAACTACCAGTCAAAAAAAATTGTATAGCCTAAAAGTCAAATTTAGTGATTACCACAGCCTCTGTAACATAAACAGCTACATGTGGCTATCTACACACACCGGAAAAATCTAGGGATATCATTTTATTAAAGTCAAAAATAAATGTTTTGAAAAACAACCACATATTTGTAGGCCGATTCTTTCTACTTCGATTGAAACGAAGTAGTCACACTAGTTATTTCTAAATTTGGGATATTTCCAGAAGTGTTTGTGCATTTTTTGTCAAATGTATAAAAAGCACCTAGCATCAATTGTTCGAATTTAACCTGTACTGGCTATGTTTTTATGATAACTGGCCAAAATTCATTCAAATAACTCTGTTTAGTATTAAACGACATTATGGAGCGTAGACATCTTAACAGAGACGAAATGCTAAGGGCCATGGGTATGCTCGAAGCTGGAATACGCCAAATCGACGTAGCTAGAGCATTAAATACAACGCAAAGTGTAATATCGCGATTAAGTGCACGCTACCGTGAAAGTGGTGATGTTGCTGAAAGGCACACAGGGCGACATCGCATTACTACCCATCAGCAAGATCATTTTTTACAATTAAATGCTCGACGCCGACCGACTCTTACAGCTCCAGAGCTTAGTATAGTTCTCCAGGAAACACATGATGGTACAGTTATGGTCTGGGGAGGAGTCCAGTTAGGCCGAAAAACCGATCTCGATTTTCTTGAAAGGTTTCTAACAGGAATCACATATCGTGATTTAATTCTTAAGCCTGTCGTGTTACCATATGCCAATGATTTTGGGAGAAACTTCATTCTCATGCATGACAATGCACGGCCTCATACAGCCAGAGTGGTAAGTGAGTTTATCAATGCTCATCAATTAAACATCTTATCCTGGCCGGCACAATCTCCTGACCTCAACCCCATCGAGCACGTATGGGACGCGGCCCAAAGAAGAATTTTGAGAATGGGTATGCCTCGTGAAACTCGTAGGGAGCTGGTTCGGGCCGTGAATGCAGCGTGGCAGGCTGTACCTCAAGAAGAGATCGACAACCTGATCAGGAGCATGGAGAGACGATGTAGGGCTGTAATGAACAGTAGAGGAGGCCATACCCTTTATTAAGTAAAAATGGTTTTATCTTTTTTTTTAATTCACAGTTTAGAATCTAAAAAAATGTGTATATTTCTTTGAGTTCAATAAAAATCAAGGTAAATTTGAAATATTCGGTAAATTTCGCATTTTTATTTCCAATACGTCCTCAAAACTATTTGTTTATTTTAATTTTATTATATCAGAAATGCAAATAATAACTGACGATGTGAGTATTTCAAAAATTAAATTGTTCAAATGTCATATAATAATGGAGGTAGCTGTCATGGAATTGAGCAATTAAAAAATTATCATAAATCATTTTTTTTTCAAATAGAAACCCACCTTTTTTTATTTCACTAATGAAAAGGCTTTTCAATTCGTTACTTTTTAACTATATAGTAGGCGTCCAAATGCAAAACCCTCAAGTCCCACGAAATAAATTTTACAGAATACAAAAAAAAATGATTTATGTTATGAATATTAATAATAATAATAATAGCTCCTGTATATAGCGTTTAAAGCCTTGGGAGTAGCAAGGTACAGCCTGCCATGCTAGAGCCGTTCGGTATACAAGGAAGATAATGTGGCTAGCACTACGCTTCAACCGCCTATTATTACCTCAGGATTGTGAATCCCAAGTACTCATTTAAGGCTGAGTCGATCTAGGTACCCAATCTATTTTTATTTTTAATAAAAATAGTCGGCTGATAACATGCCGGGTATAGGATTCGAACCCACTACCTTGAGATTGGTAGACGAGAGCGTGTACCTCTACGCCACCGGGCACCATATTATGAATATTAAAAAGAATAATAAATCTAAAGTACCTACTGAATTTATCCAGTGCAGTATTTTTTGCAAATATCCATAGAAATGTAATTCAGAGAGTTTTTCTTGGCATAACGAATTAAAAGGTGTATAGAACTAAGTTTACAAAAAAGTGTGACTGTCGGATTTTGCATTTAGACGCCTGATGTGTTCCTATACCTAAAATAAATCGCTTTTAAGTTATTTTAGATTTAGTTTGAAAACGTATATTTCTCTTGATTTTATCTAGCTTCCTTTGATATTCAGTATCAAACGGCCAGACAATTTATTTCCATCTGTCAGAAAACGAATTATTTGAATTTCCTATATTATAAATAGCGCTTTACCCCCCTTAAGAGTTTGACATTTTGACATCACTTGACATTTAAAGTTAGAGGCTACTGGTTAAAATGAAGAAAGTATACGCTTTAAAACTAAATCTTAAATAACTTAAAAACGATTTATTTTAGGTATAGGAACATGTAGAGTCAAAAAGTAACGCCTTTTCACTAGTGAAATAAAAAAGCGGGTTTCTATTTGAAAAAAATGATTTATGATAATTTTTTAATCGCTCAATTCTATTACAACTGCGATCATTATCATATGACATTCGAACAATTTAATTTTTGAAATACATAGCCACACGTTTTCTCTTTATGGCACAGTGGTAACCAGTAATTTTGACGTTTAGGCTATACACATATTTTTAACAGGCAGTTTTTTAGTTTTTTTCGTTCAAAAATTTTAAATATTTTTTTTCTCAAAAACGGTCAATGTTAGATATAGAGTGTTTAATATCAAAATTCATAAAATTTTACAAAGAATATAAGTATGTAATAAAAAATGGGGGCACCCATTTAAAATAAGAAAGTTTCTGTTAACTTCCGGTGTGTGGCTATATTCTATTGTGGCTTCCGGAAGTGTGGCTATATTGAAAATATGTTTAATCCATAGATCTCGTTGTGAAACTGTAATGTGCAAAAAATCCCTCAGCTAGATGTTGTAGTTCTCTAGAAACTTCTAATGCACGCTCAGCCTGAGACACCCTGTATACGGAATTAAGGCCAATTTTAAAAGTACAAAAATCAGCGACACCTCATACTGATCAAAGTTGAATTTTCAAACTGAAATTGCTGTGAAAATTGGTACAAGGAATTCAAGATATGAAATATGGAAAGGCAGCAAGGAACGACGGAATAACAGATAATAGTAAATGATATAATATAATGATATATAATCTTTAATAATTAAAGCGAAGTCAAAACTACTATAAATCCGATTTTCAAAAAAGATCTCTAGATTAAAGATTAACCTGAATTTATAAAAATGTACGGTTCCCTCAATAAAATATATAAAAATTGACATGTTTTTATTTATTGTTAACTATTAATTCTGTTTTAGTTAAAAATATTTTATGACGTAAAGTTACATTAAGGATCTTCTTACGGGTCTTGTCTTTGACGTTTGGGCAATCAATATGTCAGGCACAGACTGAACCCTTTACCGTTTTCAACGGATTATTAACATTTCATTAACTCACTCTGCGGCAGAGGTCGCTTCGGCATTCGCCTCTAATCAGCTTTATTGGGAATTGGGGAGTCCCTTAGAGTAGTTGGGTTTAAACTTATGAAAATTTAACCAATAATAAGATATAGGACAGAAAATAGATTTCTAATTTTTGATAAAATATTTAGTTGTGTACCAACAATTATTTTAGTAAAAAATTGACTTTCTAGTAATTTTCTAAACCTGAATTAAATAGCCAAATAGATATTTCAGCATTGAATAAAACACAAGAGAAAAATGTGATATTCAAAGTACCATACAAATATTGATAAATTTTATATTGGTGGAATATCTAATAATAATAATAATAATATATATTTATTTATCCACAAATATGATCAATATACATTGAATCTGGACACGTCAAATAAAAGCAACATATAAAAAAATAATCTAAGATTAAATAAATACAAACCAGACATAAAATATGTATAAACACTAAATGTATAAAAGTAAAAAATTATTTATTAAAATAGTCCATAAATTCAGAAATGCTATAAAAACACTGTGTTGAATTAAAATATCTTTAATTGTTTTTCTAAATACTTGAAAACTGGTAATATTACGCTGTTCACATGGTAGCACATTAAAAAAATGTTTACTGGCAAACGAAGGAGATCTCTTATGCCGGCTATGCGATACTTTGCCGATATAGAACAGTTCCCTGTTTCTAGTTCCATAGTCATGGACGTCAGCAATCGTTTCGTAGGAGTTTTTGTTTTTGAATGCATAGCATAGAATGCTTAGGAGATATATGGATATAAACGTAACATCTCTTTTTCTTTAAAAATACTTCTGCACGATTGCAAGGGTGTCAAACCGTACATTAAACGGAGTAACCGCTTTTGGGCAATAAAAACTCTTAACCTGCCAGTTGCGCAACCGTAAACTGCTATATTATAGGACATAGCGGAATATATCAATCAATAGCGGAATAGCGAAATCAGTGCGTAGTATGCACTCAAAAGACCCTCTTAACGGAGTCTCTCAAATTGAGGAGTGCGTAATAACCCTTATTTAATTTCTTGTACACAATTTCTATTTGATCTGACCAGCTCAAAGTTTCATCAAGTGTAGTTCCCAAAAATTTTACAGTTTTTTCCGGTTTAATAACAACATTTTTATCTAGACTTATAACGAAATTATCTTGTATCGGATTTTGACTAAAATAGAAATGAACACATACAGTTTTAGAAGGGTTTATCACTAGCTTATTTCTATGGCACCATGCGCTAAATTGTTGTATAACCATTTTAGACTTATCATATAGTTCGTTTTCGGTCTTTGCTGACAACATTACCGAAGTATCATCAGCATACAAAAACACCCGACCTGTTGTTATGTAGTCAGGTAGGTCGTTAATAAAAATCAAAAAAAGCAACGGTCCCAGGACACTGCCTTGGGGCACACCGGACTCTATAACAAAACTGGAATATTTTACTTCATTTATTTTTACAACGAGGTCTCTATTGCTTAAATACGATCTTATCCAACCAGCAAGGTTGCCCTTAAACCTACCAATTGCACTTTCTCCATTATAAACTCGAAGTCCAAACTTTCGAAAGCTCAAGAAAGATCAAAAAACAAACCCACGACCAACTCTTTATTTTCCAGTCTCGTAATAATCTAGACTCTAGACCCTTATAAATGTTCCAATGAAAGAACATAATAAATATTTAAAAAATGAGGATTTTTGCAAATATGCAATTAATTTTTATGGAGACAGGTCCTAGTAAAAAATAGGCAATAGACAAAAAATATCCCAGAAAATAAACATTAATAATAATAAACCAAAAAAAAAAATCTGATCTCTTTTTTCATTTATTGATTTTTATTAATTTTTGAAAGTTCAATAGTTGTTTTGGTATAACACACCCAGAAGCCTTAAACTATATTTATTGATAATAATAATAATAACAGTCTTTATTATTAATATGAAAATACATTGGATACAAAAAAATTCTGGTTGTTTGGTCCAAAGACGAAGTATAGCAACTTTGCTATTCTACTTAACGAGTTTTTGGCAAATAGATTGTATTAGTCGATAGTCAGATTACTCGGTATCCCTATACATAATACTCTACTGTTTGTTCCCGGATTGTCTTTACAAAAGGAAAAAAACTTTTTTATTATTGACATTTTGAGAAAAATGCATTCTCCATAAAAATGTTTGTTTGTTTTATAACGGTTAATCCCGTTTATGCTTTTTCATATTTCCATACCGTTTTAGAGAAAATTAAAAAAAAATATGAAAATATAGTTGAAAAAGTACTAAAAATTTAAACACGTATCTACGTAATATATAGATAGATTATCATTGATAGAATTTTAATTAACGTCATATTTTTTGCTGTTTTAAAATATTAAAAAAGCGCAAATTGTATTTAGTTCAATGCTACCAAAAGGGCGATATATATTATTCTTGAACTTTGTTTTTAAAAATTCTGTTTTTTTTTATTTTCTTGGGATTTAGGTTCGGGAAAACTCTGATTAAGTTTTCATTTGGTTTTTCATATCTTTATTTAATTTTTAAAGGAAAAACAAACGTTTTGGCCAAACATGGAGTACGATTTCAGCCGTAGTCAATATACATAGATAGCTTTAGTGTTGCGAATAATAATTTTAAAAAATATGTGGTCATCTTTTGGCAAGCTTATATTAGTTTATTAATTGTAGTAAACATTATGTTGTGTGTGCTTGTCAATTTTTTGTATGTAATTTTTGGATTATTATCAACACTGTTTTTTTTATTTGACACTACACTGATGAAGGCTGTGAATGTTGGCCGAAACGTTTGTTTTTCCTTTAAAAATGAAATGAAGATATGAAAAACCAAATGAAAACTTAATCAGAGTTTTACCGAACCTAAATCCCAAGAAAATAAAAAAAAGAGAATCTTTTTTTTATACATAGCTTTGATAATCTGTAATAAACATTTTTTTTGTTAAAATGGATGTAGTAAACAATGTTTATCGTTCAGACCCAATGTTATTATAAATTCTCGTACATTTCGATTTGGTCTCTTGGGTTTCAGAAGAAATTTGACCATTGTTTTGGCCTTAAAATGCCTAGAAACATTATTACCCAGTTTAATAGTCAGAATAGTAACACTGTCGCAACAGGGCTACCGGCAAATTGCAATAACTGAAATTGTAGGAGTTAACCAAAGCGATGTTTCGCGTTGAAAAAAATCAGGGAGACAAACGAGGTTACAGATCGGCCTGGAAGAGGTAGAAAGAGACCTGGAAGAGGTAGAAAGAGACTTATACTACTGCTGTGCAAGACCGGGAGGACTACATTTAAGGAGACCTCTACGTGTTCCGAAGCTTAATCTACAGCACAAAATTACGCGACTACAATGGCCTAAGGAGATGAGAGCAAAGGGACCTAATTGGAATTTTGTCATGTTTAGTGATGAAACAAGAATAGGTCTAGTGTCAGCCTCGCCACGAACATTGGTCTGGAGAGCATCTGGAAGGGGGAAGCATTATGGTATGGGCAGGTATAATGCACGGAGCTCGAACTCCACTTGTTTTTAATGATGGCACAATGACAGGTGCCTCATATCTTAGAGACGTTTTGGAGCCTATTGTGCGCCCATTTCGAGGGGCAGTGGGGGATAAATTTGTTTACATTTACGATAATGCTCCTCCCCATCGCATTTTAGTGGTTCGCGAATTTTGTGAGGAACAGGGTATAAGGAAAAACTGTGGTGGCTACCGATGTCTCCAGATATGAATGTGATCGAGCATGCTTGGGACATGCTAAAACGCCATATTGCCAAAAGAAATGATCCCCCGTACCTTAAATGAATTGAAAATTGCTGCGCGCGAAACATGGGAAGCCATTCCTCAATATCTTCTGGACAACTTAATTGAGACCATGCCACATCTTCTCACAGCTTGCATTGAGGCTCGAGGAGGCAATACAGAGTATTAGTTGTGAAAAATAATTAAAATTGTTTTCAATATTTTCTGTTTAAAATGGTATTTGTTTTTGTTGTTTTTCGCTCATTATGAAAATAAAAATATAATAACAGCCTAGTTGCACTTAGATTTTTAATTTTATATTAGTTAGTCGTGTAGTAAGCCAATATGTCCAAAAATATAAAAAGAATCATACTAAGTCCAAAATAAAATAAAAATATCGTTATATGCAATGATTTTGGCCATGTGTGTATTACGAAAAGTGACTGCTTTAATCTTTTTATGTTTCATACACTTTTCCAATTATATTTGTAGTATGCTTATATTGCTCATCACTGTATGTATCTTTTTTTGATTTAGGCCGACCATTGCCCAAGGTGACATGGTGGTTGGAAAACGCTCTACTTGACGATTCAATGGACTATTTACCAGATCGTAGGGTACGAAATGTTCTTCATTTGGATAAAATCGAACGAAAACACTTGAATAGTGTTTTCACCTGTCAAGCAACGAATAATCGCCTAGTGACACCGATATCTAGTTCTATCACCTTGGACATAAACCGTAAGTACTTTTAATTATGAATTGATATATTATACTGTAAATGTTATGGACTGTTACAAGATTTCGTTAAGTATTGCTTGAGCAAACTGGTTTGTATACCGAAGACTGTACTGTTACAGTGGTTTTAAGTGTACAAGTTCTTAATTTGTTTATTACTCGCGGCAAGAGTTTTATGGTTGAAATATGGCAACCTCGGCCCGCTCGTCGATAGACGACGCGACGGCGACGACGGGACGAGTCGGCAGAAAACCCTATAAGTGCATGCGTACTCAATAGGCAGTGTTGCCATTATGTTCCCCTATAAGAAACTGTCCAGTTAACAACCTGTATATAAACGAACGTGTATAAACTACTGAGTGAAAAAATATATATTTCCGTTATTTTTTACGTAAAAAATGTCTCTTGGTACAAGTCGCTGCGAGCAACCATTCTCAAGATATTTACAATGGAAATGGATTTAGTTAATACGCATGTTATTATTGACAAAAAATGAACATGTTGAGTAGATAGTGATTTATCTGAAATTTGAAATTTATGAACTTTTTATTTTTTTAATTAATCATAAATTTTTCTACCAAAAAATGACGATAGATAGTTGTGGTCTGTTGAACTTTTCGCACAAACATATTTCAAATTTATGATTTCAGTCTAACAACTATTTTAGTCAATATGTTTAATTTACCTATATCAATGCAGTAATGTATTGATAATTTCGATTCCAAATATCTCGAGAACCATTACTCGTAGCGATTTTTTCCAAAAGATCTTTTTTAGTTTGAAATAGTCGTGAATGTATATGTTTTTACTCAATAGTTCTATACAGGTACGGACGAAAAGTTATTACTTTTCAAACCAGTTAAAAATATGTAGGTAGCGCCCCCTAGAAGTAGGTCTTATGTCAAAAAAATTCCAGGCATCAATTTCCATCCAAGTATTGACGTCACTTGAGAAATTATTTGCAAAAAATTGAAATAAAAATGAAATATCTACACCCTGTACCTCCAAAACTAAGCATTTTAAATTTATACGATTTTTTTTATTTATTTTTATCTGCATAATAGGCTGCCCAAGTTTCGGGTTTTCGAATGCCCGATTTTTTTTTGATCTGCCCGGTTTATGGGTTTTGGAATATAACTTGGACCACCCTGTATATGGTACACGTTTGGAAAAAAAAATAAATTAACCGAATCGAAACAATTAAAAAAAAATTAATTGTATAAGAAAATATGATCTTATATCGCATAAGTTAAGAGAAGCTACTTAGCTTGGTTAAATATGAATATGATAACATAATTTCTGTTATAATCGAAACACCCTGTATACATTTTTAAAAAATCTTAAAATATGGGAAAACACAAAATAAAATATACGTATTTAAGCGTTTTTTCGGAAACTTGATCGTTTTTTAAATAAAAAATATTGTAATATTTGGGGGGTTGTTTCACGCCCTTGGAACTGGAATTTCGAAAAATCCCTTCCTATCGAATCTCTACACCCTAGAATCAACGTGTATGCCAAAACTGAGCTTCTTAACGTTGAGTGGTTTGAGCAGGATCGTGATTAATCAGTGAGTCAGTCACTTAAGGATTTTATATATTAGCATAAATCATAATAATTATAATGACTTGGTGTTCGCACGGCACCATAATAATTATAAAATAATCTATTTCGATTACTGAGTAAATCTAAACGGTTCGCTCAAGAATAAGCAATGAATTGTCAAGTCATTATAATTATTATAGAAATACATTTGTCTAATATTGAAACCATCACTATAAATTTTGAAAGGCTAATTAATTAGATAAAATTTTAAAACAAAGTATGTGCTTTCATTGAAACTACCTAAAATAACTGACTTGGTTTTTGGTTTGGTGCTTTATACGAGACATGGTTTGGTAATGGTAACGAGACATGGTTTTGGTAAAAAAATATGACTGTGGGATGACACCCCCGCTTAGAGGGTTGTAGATTTTGCAATTATTTTTGGGGCAAAAATTGTCCCCCTCACAAACAAAATTAACGTGTTTTTTAATTTTCTAAAAAAAAAAAATACTCTGGCCGTTATGCCTTGCGGAACGTTTTCGATGGGCCACCCTGTATATTATTTTATAAATTTTAACCGTAAAAAATTGGAATTCTTCTATCTGCTTGTTACATTATAGTAATTTCTATTCAAATTTTAACTATTTAAATTAGGTTTAACGAATATAACAATGTTTATAAGCCAAATTTCATAAACCTGACATAAAATTGACTAACAAATAAATTAACGTATTAAATGAAATGATCGATTCAGGACATGTACTGCGGCTATATTAAGTGCCATTAAATATCGGAACGGTTTTTGTTAAAACGCTCTCGGTAATTTTACGATAATTTCGATTGCCCGCGTTCGCAAACAATTCGCTCGAATATGAAAATACGCCGCTCCAACTAAAAATTTCCGGTCCCGCATAATGGCCGTCCATTATAAATCAAAACGCCGGCCGTTTGTTTCTCGATTTGGAAAAGCTAATTTTCAATTTTCCACATTTGCATTTTTCAGTTCCGAACGATTGCTCTCCCTTTGTCCCGACGAATTGTTCTTTCTGTTTTCTCGTGAAAACTCGATTGTCTTTTTTTATTTGACATCTACGGCATTCTTGTGTGTTTTCGATTTGAAAGGATTCTCGATATTACCTGTTAATAATGATTGGAAATAATCATCTAATAATAATTCTTTATTATCTTTCTTTTTTATAGAAGATGTTGTGGGGATCGTCTTTTTAATCTTTTAAATGTATATAGGCCAATCATATTAGAGGATTCACTTGGAAAAAAGTGTTGGAAAGCTAATTATGGCCTTGATTTATTCAGTTGACATGAAAGATAAGTATCCTAGTTTTGCACGGTTGCTAGACCGCCGGCGCCGCTCGACATTCATGAAAATTCTTGGACATTTTTCAGATTTTTGCCTATAGTTCCGAAATGTTGCGTTCTTGCCAATATTTTACTATTACAAAAATGAAACACCATTAAATTCTGCGTGTAATGAGTATCAATTTGTTCAATTCGGTCCAGTAGCATCGCAGAAATTGAAAGAAGAAGAATGGTGATATTCACCTATTTAGCTGATAAAGACATTAAAGTGACATTCAAACGTTCGTCAACGGAAACGATCATTCTAAATAACAAGGCATACGATAAAAGTTTCAGAGCATCAAATTAGCATTTTACATCAAGTAATACATGCCGAGAAATTTAATATTTTCGCGTTCCGTTGTCCAACAATTCTACGTAGAATGAGTATCAATTCGATAGCTAAAACTGATGCTTATAAATAGTTATTTTTATCACTTTCGGCACTTCAAAAGAGCATTTCTCAATGACCGTAATAAGAAACGTCTTTTAAAAAAGGATTTATTGTAAAAGTTGTTGATAGACTCATAAATACGACTGCAATTGACATATCACTGAGTATCCATTCGTTGTTGGAGAGGGCACAGATTTGTTCACAATTTGTTCACAGGATTAGCACCAAACCAAACCAAACCAATGAAGCCTGGGAATGGTGCAAAGGAAAATAATTTGTACTCTCTCAGACACTTCAAATACTCCGTGAGTTTAAAATCAAACATTCTGTTCCTGCATGCTTTCAGGGGATGTGATATCACGTCATCATTTTATCAGCAGGGGAAAATGAAGTTTGTCAAAACTCAGGAACATAGACTTTCAAGATGCTGCTGGGATAAAATTCCGTGCTTAATACGTGTAAAATACGGCTTGCTACCCATACCCACTATGAAGGAAGTAGCACCTCCAGAAGTACCCAACAGCGTGTTCTGTACGTGTTCTACGAAATGCCGAAGTTCCTGCAGTTTTCAGAAAGCAGGAATGAAATGTTCGGCGATCTGCTTTGTATGTAAAGGATATTCATGCTCAAATGTGCCCGATGATGATGACATCTCGCCTGTCGTCATTAACGAAGATGACAGCTGTATATTACAATTGTTTCGTATACTCATAACTCAGTAAGACCCACTCAGTAGAGGCAGACGATTTTACAAAAACACTTTTATTCTCTAAGTTTCTATTTCAATGAAGAATCTTTTTCAAGAATGAACCCGCAATGAAGGTATAGACATTATCGTGATTGTGGCTTTTCATGCGGCACTCCAATGCATTAATCAGCAAAATTGGTAAATATAACCATTCTTCATCTTTCGATTTCTGCCATACTACTGGACCGAATTGTTACTCGTTATTCACAGAATTTAACGGTCTTTAATTTTTGTAATAGTGAAATATTGGCTAGAACGGCAATATTTCGGAATTATAGGCGGAAATCTTAAAAAAGTCCAAGAATTTTATCATCTTTTGGTCCTCCTGAGTCGAGCGGCGCGGCGGTCGAGCAACCGTGCAACTCTAGGATACTTATATTTTATGTCAACTGAACAAATCAAGACCATAATTAGCTTTCCAACACTTGTTTCCAAGTGACCCCCTATAATAGACCTTATTTGACTGGCCTAATGGTTTTATGATGATTTATGAAACAAAATATCTTCTTGAAAATCACATTGCCTTTAAAATTGTAAACTGATCGTTCGTTGTCAAATGTAAAAAGAACTAATCTAAATCTTAAGACCACTGCATCAAAGCTTGTCAAAGCTTGTCTATTGAGGACGTTAGTATTAATACGTACCATATTGTGATGAATGGTCTGCTATAGATGTTATTATTGCTGATATAGAAGCGGCTTCTTTAAATATACGCTTTATTGAATTGAAGTTCCTTTTGGACAACCCGGGCGCAGTATGCAACAACTGCTTTTTTTGTTTTTTTTATCTCGTTATTATTTTTTATGTTGGTTCATTTAGAGGCGTTGAATTTTCTTTTTGAGGGTGTTCCAAGCCTCTGACATGACAATTCTCCCACTACTGTTTTCGTGTCAAGGACCATTCTAATCATTGTCGCAACGTCATATCTAATGAAGAGATGTGCAGTGATGTTAGGTCCAG